AAATTAAAACTAGAGAGATCCACCTAATTCCATTGCTATCCGAATGCCAAAAAAGCCCTTGTTTAGCCATTCATTGGAAAAATTAGAGTGCAAGATCATAAAGAGCAAGAGCACGATTTCACAATAAAAATCCAACAATACAGCCGGATGGGGTCAAATAAAGATAGGATGAGTGCAAAAAAGGGACATCGTTCTCGGAAGGGGGCTGGAAAGAGAGAGACTAGACATGCCCCCGGTCTCCACCTCCCCCAACGAACATAAACATTTCAACGGACGAAAAAAGCGACGTTTACAGTCGTTCCTCTCGTAGCCACCGGCTGATAACGCGTTCCAGTGCGCTAGGCTGTTGGCAAAAAGCCGAGTGGAAGTTGCCAGTTGTCGAGACTACAGGTGATACTAATTAAGGATGGTAGAAGGAGACTGAAAATTTAGAGTTAGGGGTTTTCATCAGAAATCTGTGACAGCGAAGTCTGTGTAGACTTCTGCCCCCGGGCCAAGGGTAAACGAAGCCTGGCCAAAGCCCCAGACGTTGTAGGTCAAACGTCACCGAGATCCAAAACTCCCACGACCCGACAATGAGCATGAGCTTCCGGCAAGGCCTAACCATATCGCAAAGCTAGGCCATGTCCAAACTTCTGCCCCGGGCCAAGGGTAAACGAAGTCTGGCCAAAGCCCCAGACGTTGTAGGTCAAACGTCACCGAGATCCAAAACTCCCACGACCCGACAATGAGCATGAGCTTCCGGCAAGGCCTAACTATATCGCAAAGCTAGGCCATGTCCAATCATAAGTCCAAATCTAACCTGCTGAAGCCTGCGCTTGTGCTTTGAAGCAACAAGCTTAAAAGCGGTACTGAACTGTTAGGGGAATTTTTAGCGCACGAAATCATTTTTTCCTAGTAATCTCGTAGGGTATCACAGCGAAATAGCGCGCCGACGTTTTTCCACAGCATTTTATGGAGTTTTCAAATGGAAATATATAGAAAATTACACAATTTTTATGTTTGCTTTTTTCTGATCAAAATGTGTGGAAAAAGGAACCAAAATGGCTCGATTCTGTAATTTTTCTTATATTTCTATAGCGTGTTAGCGAACAAAAACCACCAAAAACCAATCATATCTTATTAACCAACGGAAAACCCATTAGCAGCTCTAATGAATTTCCTAGCTACCATACCCAGTCCCAGAAATCACATCGAAAAGACAGAAAAAGGAAACATTTCTCTCAAAAATATGAAAATTTTAAAACAACCGAAGGTGTTTCATACCTTCTGGGGTCCTAAATATACAGATTCCACTAGACAAAAATTTTTGACCTTAAAAATTAACATTTCAAAGATTTATCAGACTACCGTATCCAACCTAAAGCTTGCCCCAGGCTACCGTATCCAACGCCGTCTGGAAATAGAAAGAATCAAGAAGCTTTTAGCCGCCGAAATGAATGTCTTGTTGGGGGCGCGAGATCAGCCGTTCGGGCAGTCAGGCTTATCCCCTTTCCCGCCACCCACAGGCCGGATGGATAGGCCGGGTGAGAGTGGATTTGAGGTAAGAGAGGCGGTTACCACGGCAATCCATTGGGGCCCAGGGGCCCTGTCACTGAGCTGCTGGCTAATGAGACCCCGGATATACACACCCACATAGAATGAGAGAGATTGCAAATGGGGTGGACAAACATCAGGGAATTAGGATTAAAGGAGCCGGGAAGGTATCTATGGGTTTTGACGCTATAGATTCGCGGCGACGCAAGACGCAATGCCGCTTAAAAGTTGCGCAGTTGTCTATGTCTAGTATTTTGAATCGCCGTCTCTTTCTCTCTCTCCCTAGCTATTTCACTCTTTCAAGAGATCTTCTCCGGTTGTGTCTGACTACGCAACGCTACTGCACGCATTCAGCAAGGGCGTACGCGTAGAGCCTGCTGTAAAGCGTAGCATTCAACACCTATTTTTGGGGAAATCGCGAATTCTGATCATTGTTAGCTTTTTCCGACGCAGCTGCTTTACAGGCTTGTGAGGCCAAAGATCTTGAATTTCCTAAAGCGAAAGAGATGATGAGGTAGGGAGAAGAGATGCTGGTAAAGAGAGAGAGCGAGAGAGAGAGAGAGAGAGAGAGAGAGAGAGAGAGAGAGAGCGAGAAAAAGGCATAACGAGATAGAGAGGGTGCGAAAATTCCAGGCTACCGTAATCCAAGTTGCTGTTTCAAAACGAAAAACATTTCAAAGACACCCCCCAAAACCCGTCTATGCAAAGGCGGCCATATCCACCTAGTCGATCCATGCCCGCTGCCGGGAACTTATTTGCCAAAGGGGGAATATTAGATCACAACGGTGGAAAGGGGGAGGGGATTAAGGTGGACTGCCCGGGTGGCTAGAAGGGGATTGGCCCTATAGGCCCCCATAGGAAGGGCCCAGGCTGGGTCTCAAGGGGCCCGGCCCCAGGGCTCGCAAGCCATTGGCCCATCGAAAGCAATCAGAAAAGTTGAACAGGGACCCTTTCATGGGCCCTTTCGGGGTGGATGACCCAATCCACCTGATAGGGCTTTGAGCCATCTTGTCCTCTTGAGTGGGAATGGCAATTTCGAGAGAGGTTAGGGCAGGAAATGGAGCCGAAAAGGGTATTAAAGGGATAGGAAAGGTTTCATTATAAATCTGCTAAAAATCTGTAGTTTTGTCATGCCGCGACACGCACCGTGCGCGCAACGCGTAATGCGTAATCGGTTACGAGAGCTTTTTACGGTTCTCAAGGCAGCGACACGCAACGCGCGCACCACCGCGTAAGGGGAGGGAGCTCACCGCAGCGCTCGCGTTCCGTGTCGCGGGGCGCAGAAAAATCCATGAATACATAGTGAAAAATCCATAGCCATGCTCCTTTAAACGTTAGACTTTAGGCTTCACGTTTTTTAAAATAAACTGTCTTTTAAAAGGTTAGCCAAATCAAAGCCACAAAACCCAGGCCAACTAGCAAAGATCCTTTAGGAAGCAGACCATTCGGACGCAAAATTAACCGATTACAAACCGACCCTCCAGTCCCCTAATAGGCACCCCATCGGAGTGGTTGCTTATTTAGCGATATGTTGTTGTTGGGAAGGGCCATCCATCCCTCCATCCCTCCATCCCCTCTATTCCGCGACCCCTTCCAGGTGGTTCCACTGAAGCCGCCAAAGCGATCGCCCCTCAGGACGCGAGCTACCGATAAACATGTGTGTGCCATTTAGATCGGGTCTTTAGAATAGAACTGCAAGCAGTAAAGTTGCCACTTACAGGGGCGTTAAAGCTAGGTGAAGATGATTTGAGACTGAACCAGTTACCTGAACCAAAGCTCAAGGAGGTCAAGTGATTACAAACTTTAAATCCACATCTTCCGTAGATTGGGTAAAGAGAGAGAGTGAGTGAGGGAGTGAGAGAAAATGAAAGCGAGATAGAGAGAGCGAGAGTGGGAGACAGAGAGTGAGATAGATACGAATAGAGAGGCAGAGGGAGAGACACAAAGAGAGAGCGAGAGAGAGAGAGAGCGAGAGAGACGGAGCGAGAGAGACGAAGCAAGGCGAATAGAAAAAAGACGCATAGAAAAATGTCATGTTTCCTACTTTCCAAGCCCTTTAAGACTGGGCCCTTTCCTGGACTACAAAACTACTCTCTCGGTAAGTCCTGCAGATTCATGATTACCGTAATCAACCGTGTTACCGTCGCCATATCGAGCTCAGTTTTTCTAAACCTGCTAATTTTTCCACCTTGATTTTTCCCATTTTAAAATTTTTCCTTTGTTTAAAAATTCCGTTCATTGCAAGGCACCTTTTCCTTCAAAAACTCCTTCAATTCTCAATCAGCTGTCCCAAGCAGCCAGATGTCAGGGCCCTAGGCTACGCGGCACTCCTCTGGACACAGCGATCGGACGCGCTCTTGGGAACCATTATTCTTATTGGCCCCTCGGCACCTCCCCGTGATAAACTTTTACGAGCACCCCCCGGCCCCCACCTAAACGTTCCCGCCCCGGGTTTTTCGAGGCTCATAATGCCCAGCTAATTCGATATCTTTGCTCCTAAAAATGTGGATCCGGGCCCTGCTTTGGCTGCCACTGCTATTTGGTAGGTTTTTACAAAATGTTGAGGCGCTAAATCTTTTTAGAAAATGTTTTGGCCGACGACTATTTTTCAATTGGGGCTCATTTATCGGCCGATGCTTTGAGTAGGGCGTTACGCGGGACGGTTAATGATTTATTGCAAATACCGAGGGCCCAGGTGGGTAGAAAAATACTCTTAAAAAAATACACGGTTGAATTACTTGTAAAAATTCATCAAACAAGATCAGAAAAACAAAATTTTATACCAAGTAAGAAAACATTAAAGTAAGAATATATTGAGTAAAACTTAATTTTTTACGTATTAAATTAATTTTCAGAACAATATCACGATCCCGGTCTTCCAAAAAGTTGACCTGAAACCACAGGCTTTTCTCGACGAGTTGGCCGAACAATTGGACGAGAGATTTTTAGATATCGTAAGACATTAGAATTTTTATTGTATATCTTGATTTTCCAGAAACAACAGCTAGCCAACATCGCCAAGAAGGTCACCGTCAAGTCGAAGAAGGATGGCAATAGCTGCGGACAGCTGGTGAACTCGTTTTTGTTCCCGACTTCTGCTTCGAATTGCTGCCCGACAGTTGAGGGAGAAGCAGATTTTGAGGTCGATCGAAATGGTGGGTGGAGAGAGATAGAGAGACAGAGAGAGAGAGAGAGAGAGAGAGAGAGAGATAGAGAGAGATTGAGAGAGAAATTATATCTTTCCAGCTACGACGCTCCTTCTCCGAAATCCGGCTGTCCAATCCTTGTTCATCTACAATTCTAACCAGCTGTCAGAATGTCCTCCTCCCAGGAGATCATCTACGGATCGGTAAGTCTTCGGAAACCCCTTAAGCTTAAAATTGCCGCTCAGAGCCCAACACTGGCGACAAATCGTTTCCGGGCTACATCAAGGTGTTCGTCGTGATGTCGTGATTGCAATTGATATGAGTAAGTTAAAGGGGCCGACAACTTACCGTAGTTGTGGACTATTCTGTAAAATTCGGAATAGAAAATGTGCTTGTTTTAGACGACCTGCACACGGACGCTGAGCTGCAGCAAGTCAAGACGACTGCTAAGGCCTTGCTGGACGTGGTGCTGGCAGGCGATCGTTATTCGATTGTTGCAAATTCTAATAATGGTTAAAAAAATTTTAATAATGCCAAAAAGGAATTTTCTAGGGTTGGAAACGCATTGCAGTTCGTCGATTTCTCATTTGCAAGAGATTGTGAAGAATTTGAGGTGAGAAAAAAATCGGAAGACGAGAGAGAGAGAGAGAGAGAGAGAGAGAGAGAAATATAACAAATTACAAATTCATTTTTTAGAATCCCCGAAGAAGGTAAAGTCCGCAGCTCTCATCCCGAATTGATGAAAGCGGCCACAGATGTCTGGAAAGCAAATAATAACACGAAGCATATTATACATGTAAGCTACCTTTTTCTGATCAAAAATGCTTTATTAACTTTAGTACATCTCTCGCGGAATCCTCTCCGAAATGTCTGAAGCTATGAAAACCCTTGAAGTGTTGGCTGTCCGATACCTTGACCTCCCCTACCCATTCCGCGTCAATACTTTTGCCATTGGAGAGGGTAATTTGGTGAATTCAGTCTGTAAAGTAATTTTTAGAAAACGGGGCTCAACTACTGTGGCCAAAGGAATTTTTGCGGAGCGTAGCGGAACTCGATTTCGGGCGGTACAAGCAGTCGATGAGGGAGGAGGTGCAAAATCGACTGAACGGATCGCAGGGGAATTCTGGGAGAGGAGAGGTGAGAGAGAGTCAAAGAGAGAGAGAGCGAGAGCAGTAAGAGAGGAAGAGAGAGAGAGAGAGAGAGAGCGAGAGAGAGATATAGAGACGAAAATACTGAAAATTTTAGTTAACCGTGCTCAGCGTCAAAAACCCAAACGATTGGCCACTCCAATACATTACAAAACTACTCGACTTCAACGACCCAATTCCACAAGAATCTCTGCAATCCAGCATAGAGGGCCAGAAGGTCTAAAAAATCTATAGAAATCCTTAATTTCCTTTAGATTACGATCTACGAACGAGCGGCCGATGCGTTAATTGGAGCCGTAGTTGACGGCATCATACTTTTCGACCAGCCCATCAGCCATAATTTGGTGCTTTATGCGAATGCGGCAGCTGAGCTTCACGTATACTTGCTGACGGAGGAAGGGTATTTCTATACAAAACTGGCTTAAAGCAATTTTTTTAGAAAAGTGGTAGCTTCAAGCCGAACATCGGAAATCGATACCTTAAAGCTAAACGAATTGGACCTATGGACAAGCCCGGACGGCACTTTACCTTTTAAGGTAAGTTTAAGCTTTTGCCTAAACCTACGCCTAAGCCTAAGCCGAAGCTTAGGACTGATTGAAGCCCAGGCCGAAGCCGAAGACTAAGCTTAAAGCTAGCCTAAACCCAAGCCCAAGTCTATGCCTAAGCCTAAGCCTAAGCCTAAGCCTAAGCCTAAGCCTAAGCCTAAGCCTAAGCCTAAGCCTAAGCCTAAGCCTAAGCCTAAGCCTGGCCCAAGCCTAGCGGCCTAAGCCTAAGCCTAAGCCTAAGCCTAGGCCTAGCCTAAGCCCAAGCCTAAGCCCAAGCCTAAGCCTAAGCCTAAGCCTAAGCCTAAGCCTAAGCCTAAGCCTGGCCTAGGCCCAAGCCTAAGCCTAAGCCTAAGCCTAAGCCTAAGCCCAAGCCTAAGCCTAAGCCTAAGCCTAAGCCTAAGCCTAAGCCTAAGCCTAGGCCTAAGCCTAAGCCTAAGCCTAAGCCTAAGCCTAAGCCTAAGCCTAAGCCTAAGCCTAGGCCTAAGCCTAAGCCTAAGCCTAAGCCTAAGCCTAAGCCTAAGCCTAAGCCTAAGCCTAAGCCTAAGCCTAAGCCTAAGCCTAAGCCTAAGCCTAAGCCTAAGCCTAAGCCTAAGCCTAAGCCTAAGCCTAGGCCTAAGCCTAAGCCTAAGCCTAAGCCTAAGCCTAAGCCTAAGCCTAAGCCTAAGCCTAAGCCTAAGCCTAAGCCTAAGCCTAGGCCTAAGCCTAAGCTTAAACATAAGCTTAACCTGTTCATTTTTCAGGTGCCACACGCCAAACATGGCGTTTTTACAATGCTTCCACCGTCCGGAAAACGCAGATATCTTTGGAAAACGGTACATAAACCTTAGTAAAATTTGTATAAAAAATCTATAGCTCAAAAGCGGCCTAATATTTGCGGTCGGGTACATCGAAGGGAAACTTCCGGCACACGTTCACGTCCAAGAACTGCAAGAGCGACAAACGGAAAAACTAGAGCATCTGGTTTACAACCGATTTGATCTTCAGGTAGCTGGAATTCAAACTTTTGATAAAATACTTTCCCTAGCGCGAGCTCCACCACCATTGCGCATTTCACGGAGCGCTATCCGTCAAGGGAAAAGCCTCACTTTTCCTCCCCTCCTCGGCTTTTGAGCCGTTGGCCCGTCGGCTTGATCCGACTGAGCAGTTGGTGAACAACTACTGGGTAAGTTAGTCAAGTAGCTAACTGAATCTCTCGCTGTTGTAAGGTATATCTCAACGATCGTATCGGTGTCATCCGATCGTCTGCTATAAAACCAGGAGTCCGAGAAGAAGCTGGGACGATGAGTGCCATCGCGAAACTGTGGATAGAAGCTGAGCGTAGGTTTTAGAGGGATGTTAAATCGAGGAGCTGGTTAAGCCTAAGCCAAAGCCTAGGTCGCAAACTATCCTTTTTAGACGATCCAGTCGTAATCCGTCGTTTCGTCGCCTCCCGTCGTGGTCTCCTCGTCTCCTACCCGGCCGTCGTCCTCGACGAGTCCCATGACCCAAGAACCCAACTCTGGTTCCAAAAAGCCCTAGAGAATCCAAAACGACTGGCAATCACCGGCCCGATAGCCGATCCACTACTCGGGGATACTGTGGTCCTATCGACAGTACTATCGTATGGGCACCAGGTAAAATTTTGAGATGTGTTTCGCTCTTCTTCTTCTCTCTCTCTCTCTCTCTCTCTCTCTCTCTCTCTCTCTCTCTCTCCCTCCCTCCCTCTCTCTCGCCGGAAGTCCAAATCCTGTCAAATAAAATTGATTCAGGACATGTTCGTCGTCGGGGTCGAAGTGACGCTCAACTTTCTGGAGCACGTCGTGCAAAGGACGGTTTCGGCTTGTAGCGAGGTGAGAATTAGGTATATAGCGTAGAAAATTAGAGGATTTTCGGGTTCATAAGAGGTCAGAAAAATAGCTCTCTTTGACTGGTAGTCGCACCTAACACTTTTCGTTCGCGACCGTGTAGCGCATGAAAGGTACACTAAAGTCTCGTTGGTTTGGTTACCGGCCGGTAACCGTCCGCGGGATAGCAAACAAGGTTACGGTAGGCGCTTGCCGCGGAGCAAAAGCGAACCCTGGCTGCCAGTCTTGGGCAGCGCCTTGGACCACTAGGCCAAGGGAGAGACGGGAAGCGGGAAGGGGAGAGGCGGTAAGAAGGGACTGGGTCGGCTCCGGCAGAGAGCCCAAACTTCCTAACGCGACCGAACTTTTTGAACAAGATTTTAGTGTACTTTTAAGGGCTTGAAGCGCCATAGAAATCGTCTGTAAAAATAAAATATATGTAAATAAAATAAATACAAAAAATATTCCATTTCCAGGGTCGTCGCTGTCTTCTTTTCACCTCTATCGGAAATGTTGTAGCGCTACCTACAGAGTTGCTACACACTCTATCGGTTGACGCTGTTGAACGGTAAGATAGCAGAAGCTCTTTGAGACACCTCTGACAGCTCTCGAACCTTTCATCGCGTTTTCCCTTTCTCTTTCTCTCTCCCGCTCTCTCACTCTTTCTCTCTCCCGCTCTCTCTCTCTCTCTCTCTCTCTCGCTTTCGCCAAGTTCCTATTTAATTAATAACGCAGACAGAAATTGCTAGGTACCATCTTGCCCACGTCGATCCGCCCCTAACTTCCCATCTCCTGACCGCGCCTCACATCTTCAGGAAGGAGGAGTGCCGTTCTACTAGCGGACACACGCACCACCGATTCCGTTTCAATACGTCATACAGCCGAGTGGATACGGTAACACTCTGAAAGTAGCGCTAAACACAGAATTCAGAAAATGTGCTCCTCTCTTCCGCCGCTCTCTCGGCCTCAGGTACAATCCGAGGTGGTGCTCGTTCCACACACCGACGTCTTCTTGGCGCTCATCAATACGAGTTGCGTCAGGAGGAAGGAAGCTGGGGTAAGGATTACAACGTTAAAGGCACTTTCGAGGTGCGGAAATCGACACCTGACTCGACTAGGTCTCGACAAGTGCGTTGGTCAACGCACGCAAACGAATTTGTTATCTTAAAGGGATACCCAATGTTTTAGCGGCAAATATATAGTTATGTATTCCGGAGAGTACAAATGACGCGTGAATTTTGTGCGGCAATGGACGCCCAGTGCCGCACAGAATTCGGCTCTTTTCCTCTTGTGGCGTTCCCATCTCAACCAATGGCTTGCCACTATGGCCTAGTGGATAGCGTCCAGGCCTTCAAAGCGAGGGTCCCGGGTTCGACCCCCCGCCCGCGCCATGGTTTTTGCTTTTTGAGCCTCGCAAATGTTGGGTATCCCTTTAATGACGACAATCCTTTTCAGCACTTCTGCCCCTGCTCGGTCTCCGATCGCCGGTGCCTATTTTGTGCTCGTTTCGACGAGAATGAGTGCGAGTGCCCGTGTCAATGTGGTCCCAACCGGGCTTCGGCGTGTGATGCTGGTGAGTGTGAGCTGCAGCTAGTTTTTGTAAAGCCATAAACGATCCTTCTACAACTCTCAAGTCACGTTTAGGACCCAAGAACGTTCATAAAACGACAACCCTCTGTACCCCAGATGCAGTACCATACCCTCCAAATTACGCCAAGGCCCCGCACTACTTGGAAGAGTGCCAGCCGATCAGGTAGGGTTAGAATAGTTCTCTCCTATCTCTCTCTCTCTCTCTCTCTCTCTCTCTCTCTCTGTCTTGCTCTCTCTCTATATTTCTCTCGCTCTATCTCTCTCTGTCTTGCTCTCTCTCTATTTCTCTCGCTCTATTTCTCTCTCTCGCTCTCGCTCTCTCTCTCGCAATCATACCTCATTTTAGTTGCCCCCAATTCCACTCGCCATCAAGCTGCAACCTGCGCCCGGGATGTACCTGGTGCCAACAAGACCCCAAAGGAATGGAATTGACCCAACCATCTTGCCGACCAACCCCACTATGTTATAGAGGAATGCTGGGGAGAAGCGTATTAAATAGTAAGTTATTGGATCTTAGCCGTATAACTTGCGATTAGCGAATGGCCTCGACGCGCCACACGACGCACAGAACACGCCATCTACCCCGGTATCGTTGATCGGAGCTTTGGTGGGAAGTGTCATCATCGGATTGGCGATCGCTATTTTTACCTGCTACAGAAATCGGGTGGGTTTTTGGGATTTGTGAGAGCGAGAGAGCAAGAGAGCGAGAGAGAGCGAGTGAGAGAGAAAGAGAGAGAGAGACTAAAACTCATGTTTTTCAGTCCAACCGTCTCCGTGAACGCCGAATCTGTAACAGCGACCAGGGCGGCACCCTATTCTGTGGACGCTTCGGAACCCTCGAGCCGAACGAAGATTTCTATTTCGATCACGAGGGGCTGAGCCGAGGTGAGCAGGATTTAGCATCAATAAGTTGGGCCATAGCGCCTGATCCCGAACCATTTGAGCATGAGCCTTTTCAGAAAAGCTGATTCTCGCTTCCTTCGAAAGATCTGGAGGTGGGCCACTGTCTCCAAGACCTGCACCCAGGGGTCCACCTACCGTTTCGGATCTTGGATATTCGACAATGACGGAGCGGACGAATGAGGGTAGCGATGCGGGCACTAGGTAAGCGCAAATTCTGATACGGCACCTTCGATCGTAGCGTAGCGTAACCGGAGCATAGCATATACGGAGTGAAACGTACGAATTCTGTTAAGGTATTATTTCAGTTCAAACCTGCCCGGAATCCGGATAAGAGTCACAGACGGCCCTGCCGGTCAACCGTTCACCCGGCTGAGTCGACTTCCGGAGTCTCCGCTAAAGTGTGTACCCCTGGATCCACACGGAATTTCATTGTCCTCCTCGAGTTCGGTGGTGACGACGGAAGCTGATATTCATCCCCTCCACCCCCACTTGTCGCCCACCTAATCGATTAAATTTCCAGAATTAGTATTTAGTAGTAAGCGAGGCCCAAGCCTATGCCAAAGTTATGCTTCTCCAAAAATGACTGCTAGCTTGCCCACATCCTCCCATTAATGCAACAATGCATTACCTAATATTATGTAACCTACCACTCTGTTCTCTCTCCCTCTCTCTCTCCCTCTCTCTCTCTCTATCACTCTCTCTCGCGTTCTCTGCTTTACCCCATGTCAAATACAGGTGATATATTCTGCTCGGGATCTTATGTGCTTCAATTACCCTACCCTGCCCCAATTGCCATGCTACTCGCTTTTGCTCTTTGCAATCCAACGGGTTCCCCTATGCGCGTGTTGCCAAAAATTACTGTATTGCAGATTTTGATAAATCAGGGATTTTATTAAGAGCTCGTTCACATGAATCAAAGAAGAATTAAACATGCATGTACATTTTTCAGGCATTAATAGATCGGCTTTGTCGAGTGGCCTGAATATGCAAATTTTCACGAGAAAAGGACCCACATCGAAATTGCTTTATCAGCGTTAAAGACGTCAAGAACACTAACTGACTTTTAAAATTACCTTGCCCTCAACGTGTCGCCCCATTGTGTCGCTCCAAAATTGGCGGAAATGGGCAGAGGCTGGGTGGCGGCTGCGGAGAACATGCCTGAGGTTTGAGGTTTTTGATGTTTGCTGTTGGTTCTTAGCGACTTGGCCACTTCGGGAACAGGCCAATTCATTGATTATATGATTTTTACTTTCGACCAGCATATAACTTGACTCTCCTTCTCTCTCTCTCTCTCTCTCTCTCTCTCTCTCCCTCTCTCTCTTTCCCTCTCCCTCTCTCTCCCTCTCCCTCTCTCTCGCTCTCTCTCCCTCTCCCTCTCTCGCTCTCTCTCTCTCTCTCTCTCTCTCTCTCTCTCTCTCTCTCTCGCTCTCTCTATCTCTCCCGCACGCTTCTCTGATCCTTTCTGATGCGCAACGACGAGTTCGAGCCGATTCTACTATCAAAGTACCGTCAAGCCTTACCCATCAACAAGATTCTTAACCCCACCAAGTACAAGACCGTAATTGGATTCTTAGCACCACCGCAAAAAGTGCATCCTGAGTCTGGATTTATATTTCCAAGGCCTGGGAACGTCTTGCATCTGCCAAGTATTTTCAAACGAGCTGCCCGCCTTTCCTTTGCCCGTGTAATGTGATGTCCTGTTTTGTGGGCACTCTTGAGGGGGACCTCTCTCTCTCTCTCTATCTCTCTCTCTCCCCTATCCACCCCAGCTTCTCCATCACACGTCTCGTGTCAATGATCGTGGATGGGCTATGATGGCTCGACTCGTCGACATCTCTCACCTTTAAGTGTGCCTCACAGGCTTTGGACTTTAACACCTCCTCGCGGTTTGGGGCGTTTTTGTGAGCGATTTTTGAGCGACGATCGGTCGTAGGGTTGCGTTTCGGGTCTTTCAAAGTTCAAGGCTCATCCCAACCTTGATTGCTAAGCTTCTACAAAGGCAGAAACCTAAGCCTAAGTCTCAGAATAAGCCTAAGTCCAACCTAAGCTTAATCCTAGCCTAAGCCTAAGCCTAAATCTCAGCTTAAGTCTAATCCTAAGCCTATGCCTAAGCCTCTGAACGCAGGCCAAGCTTTTCAAAGACTCTTCAGGCGTGGTGTGTTGTGGAGCTTAGTTGTCGGGACCTAGCGGCTGAAAGAGTAGAATTTCGCGTAATTGCGTAGAAATCTTGCGTAGAAAAATCAGAATTTCTGGAGTCAATCAGGCCTAAACGCGCTTCAGTCCGAACCCTGATCCCGAGCCGGAACTTCCGGTGAAAACGAGAAATTCGAAGGGGTCGGCTAGAGATGGAAGCGTTTTCTTGTGCCAAGGTACACGTCGGGTGCACCGGCTTTCCATAATTTTTTGGAACTTATGCTCGGCTCCAGGGTTTCTCAGCTGGGGAAAAGCGCAAAGGACGCATAGCCAGTCGGGGGAGCGCACGAATTTTCTTATGTTCGTCTCGAAACATCCGAATTTAGGGTAAAATTATGCGAAATATATCAGTTATTTTCTTTTTAAGTTTATTCGTATTTTTGCCTGATTTTCTGTCATTTTTTTTTAGTTTCCCTTGATTTTTGAGTATCGTCAATTTCTTTAAGCTGGCTTTCCGGAAGGGACCTTACCCTGATGAGTCCCAAAAAATGAAACAACCCCATAGCCTCAATTTTGTTGGGTAGACTCGGAAAGCTATCCCTGAAGCCGAAGCCCCGAAGCCCTCCTCGTCGAATTTTAATCCGACCCCCTTGACGGGTCGCCGTGTGACGGGTCGACGGAGAGCAACCAACCCCCCCGACCACCAGAACATTCCCGCCACCGGTTTTTGGTCGGTTTCGTAGGGGTTTCGAGACCCGAATTGAGTCAGTAAATTAAGTTATGTAGAATAGGCATCTGAGTGTGTTTTCGGTAATATTAAAGGGACGCGACGGTGTACAATGGATTTTGTTGTCACGGCGTACGGTTGCTTACAACGAGACGTTTTTGAGCTTCGTCCGAACTTCGAGATGGGACCAAGTCTTTCTTGAGCAGAATTTTGCACACAATTTTATTTTTTTCCAATCCAGGAATTTTCTTTTATCATTCTGCTTCTCGTTCGATTTTCACGAATTCACGCTCGATCCTTCCAATTCTTGCCTTAATTTGCATGCGTGAGACAACCGGCTTGGACCCTGGACCCGCCACACAATTTCGGGCAACTCGTAAAAGTGAGCTGCTGTCCTCCTGCCAGCCGGGCAACAATCCGCCCTTTCGATTATTCAGCCGAATTCCGGGCGGCCGCCACGCTCGTCCACGCATCGCCCTTTAATTGAAAATCTGGGCCCCTGAGCTGGGGGCCAATAGTACTTTGGACAATCCTAGTCTGGATTGGGACTTTTGGGGGTTAAGGGGGTACCGGGGTAGGTTAAGGTAAGCCTAGGAACTTGATGTAATCCAAGCAAAGCTCAAAGCTGCAAAAAAAGCTAGTCAAAGCCGAAACCCCGAAATGAAGCTCAAAAAACGAAGCACACGCACTTTCCGCTTCGGAAAACCCTCGTATCCCCGTTCCAGACTACTGACCACTGCCGCCCTTGTTGTTCCACGCTATCCCAAGCCGAAATTCGACAAATCCTAGATCGTAAGCGAGGCGTCACATCCCCTCCCATCCTTTTATCTAATAACACGGTCGTGCCGTGGGACGACACCAAAAGGGAGAGGGACACACCCCGTCAGAATCGTCTATTCCAGCTCTAGCTAGGAGGGGTCGAGACTTTTTGTTAGTGGCGGCTTCAGCTGCTCATCAGGGATGCCCTTCCCTCCCTTTGCTACCACTACCTCACGCTCCGCATTCAACCTCCCCTCGTTCCACCAAACACATGGGGCCCTTTGGAGGGATGCTCGCAACACTCACGTTGGGCCCCGGGCCTTGGGTTTGACCTGGTCCCAAAAAAATGAAGGGTTTTTCGCGTCTCGGAACGTTACGAACTTATTTGACTAGCTTAGATACCTCATGCTTACCTAGACTACCTTACCTTTCTTGCATCAAGTAGGGCCTTTGAGCGTCCAGAGAGTTTAACAGGCCAACCAAGTTTATTTTATGTAGCTCGTGCTCCTAAGCCTAAGCCCAAGTCTAAACCCAAGCTTATAACGCCTGTTTTGCCAAGTAAAGCAAAAAATTCACGTGGTTAACTATTTTCTGTACCTTAAAGCCTCATGACCTGTATCTGGTCTTTTCGCAAATCTTAAAGATAGGTTTTCTTCAGCAAAAAAATTTGCATACGATATGATCGGTTTGATTACTCCAATCGGGCAAACTAGCGGAGATCCTCTTGGAAGCTTCTCTCGCTTTCCCCCGGTCACTCTTTCTCTCTCTCTCTCTCTCTCTCTCTCTATCTATCTCTCTCTCTCCCTCTTTCGTTCACTCTCCCTCTCGCTCTCGCCTCTCTCTCTCCCACTCTCTCTCACTCTGGCTCTCTCTCCCTCCATCTCTCTCTCTCTCTTTCTCTCACTCTCTGTCTCTCTCTCTTTCTCCTTGTGGTTAGCACCTACAAATGATCGCATGTTCTCCCCTCAATCTCCACCTCCTCGATCCGTTCCATGTGCCTTCCAGGCCCCCAGCTGTTTCCATCCATCCCCCTGGATCCAATTGGTCGGTCTCAAAAAGACCTTGTATGCTCTCGACTTCTTGCTCGCCAGGGGGAACAGCCGCTTTGTTCGGCCAGGGGTCGGGGAGTCTTCAGAAAAAAACTTTTACTCCAACTTCTTGCTGGCTGGTTGACTGGGGTCCTTCTGCCGGTTTTGATGGGGGCTCCCATGAATGATGAATGGCCGATCGGGGGTAGGTGGACCGGCGAAATGCATGAAGTCAGCGGTTGTTACCTGCAAACGTGCAAAGGACTTGGGTTTCGCTTACGAAATAAATATCTTGGTCTTTCTTTATCCATTTGCGACAATGTCTCTCTCGCTCTCTCTCTCTCACACGCACTTTCTCTCTCTCTCTCACTCTTTTCCAATTTAAAAACTTTCCTTTTTCGCATTAATGACATTTTGATGCGAGAAAGATAAAGAGAGAAAGAGAGAAAGAATGAGAGAGCGAGCGAGGGAGAGAGTGAGAGACAGAGCGAGAGAGCTAGGGAGAAAGTGAGTGAAGGAGAGAGATAATAGAAATTCCCAGACCTCCGCCGTTGACCAGAACAAAACCCGCGTTTTCACCACACAATTTCCGCGCACCCAATTTCCATCCAAAAATAACCACATTCATTTGCGTAATCCGCTGCCGTTTTCTGATTTTTTCAAGCCACCTATCACCCCCTA